TTATTTCCTTTGATGATAAAGCTTTTAAGTCGTTTAAAAATAACCTCTTCTTGGTTGAGTTATTGTTATAATATTAGCAATACAACTGGTCAAAATAATAGAGAGTATAAGTTTCATAAACAATTACAACTCACAAAAATTTTATTCTCTTCTCCTGAGATGAATTTTATCCTTTATAGGACTGCTAATTCATTCATATATACATAATTGAATATTGGCTTTAAGCTATATTGTTTAGATGTAAACTCTGTTCCCGTAAATCCATAGAGAGAAATGGGAGCTGTATAACCAAAATGTATAGCCAAATTGCTCAATTTGAGCATGCTCTGAATTACGTAATCACATGGAGATCTATTATCAAACACTATTTTTAATGGTCTGCCAGCTGGTAACACCTCTAAATTGGTAAAAGCAAAGAATTGGAAAACATTTGCCTTGCAAAAGCATTTGTCGCCCAGTCATTAGAGTCATTCATTCACTATCTCAATTTCTGGGAAGAATTCCAAGAGTACTTTTCCAAGATTTATCAAATAACTATTAATTATACCCATTACTTTCACTTAGATCACCTTGGATTATCCAAATTATTCAGAAAAGATTAGGAAAATCAAAATGGCATTAATCTCATTGCCAATATAATACAAAAATAAAAAAATATTTTTGTTATTTGAAATATGTTGTATCAAAACCTCAAAGCTCCAACTTTTTGCTGATTTAATTTACAAAAAATTCCGTCCTATAACTTAACTGGCAGAGACAGGCCATTTAGACAAGCAATCAACCAGGTCAACTCTCTCCAATAAAGACCTGATTTCATTTTTAATTTAAAGATTTTTGAAATATGTTTCAAGAAATGATATGAAAACTGAGAAACAGTTATGGAAATCATCTTCTAAAGGCAATGCTAAAACATTGTCAACATTAAAATAAAGTAGACCTACAATAAAATTTTATTTATTTTTATATATTATATGACCAAGCTAAGACAATTTACTGAATTTTAATACCACAAAGTAATGTGTAGTTAACAATGCAAATTCATTATAAATCTAAGGATATGATATTTTTAAAAAGCATTGCATTCTTTCCAGCAGATAGGTATACTATGTATTGAGCTACAGCATTCATCTCAGGGAATGACTAAATAAGATCTAAGGACAAAAAAATTCACAAATTATATAATTGTTTTCCATTGCTCTCATCAACAAACTTCCCTAAGTAATTAAAGAAGGAAGAAGGTATTTATTCCTTAAATCTAACTAATCCGGGCCCCCGCCAGTGGTGCAATGGGTTGGGACACAGCACTGCAAGCCAGCCACAGCCACTTCAGTGAGAGTTCGATACCCAGCCCTGGTGGTGACCACATGGCGCGGCAGACCTCTCCTGGCCTGCCCCTTCTCCTCTCAGCAGTGTACTTCATCGATCTGCCTGTTCTGCTCCCCGCTCTGTCTCTGGTGAATCTTCTCAGTGCCCCTGCACCTCTGGCTTGTACCCCAGTTCTGTATGCATAAAATAAATAATTTTTTTAAAATCTAATCCAGCTGCTAGCAATTAATTTTGTCTTTTGTTAACAGGAAGTAGAAATTAGTATAAATATTTCATAAAATGTTTTCACAAAGTAGACTTTAACTACTTTCTTAATAATCTGTATCAAATTTGGGGGGAAAAATCACATAAAACTTGTAGCTGGCCCTCCCTGGTGGCGCAGCAGGTTAAAGCACTGCACTAAGAAGCTTAAGCCACTTCCGCATGAGTTCGATCCCCGTCTGCCCCGGAGGAGATCCACATGGCGCGGCAGACCTCTCCTGGCCCGCCCGCTGCTCCCCTCAGCAGTGTACTTCGTAGACCTGCCTGTTCTGCTCCCCACTCTGTCCCTGGTGGATCCTCTCAGCCTCCGCATCTCTGGCCTGTACCCCAGTTCTGTATGGATGAATAAATAAATCTTTAAAAAAAAAACTTGTAGCTGTGTATTTTATTCAATATATATTGAAAAAAATTGGTCCTTATCAAAAATACCCTGATTGCATTTGAAAGAATCAATATCACTAAACTTTCCAGTCCTTCATTCTGCAAAGTTGTTTCTTTACAACTAATGACAAGAGGAACTGAGAGGAACTGCTTGCACTTAAATATGTGTTCCCCAAAAGTCATATTTAGTGTTTGATGTGCCCTAACAGTGTTCTCTTTGCTTAACTCTAAAGAGATAGTCCTCAATAACCAAGCACAATTTGAAGATAAATGGTGGTGGAAGGGATAAGATGAGCTGGAAACTTTCATAACCACCCCCTATACAAAGATACACACAATCATGTCTTACGTAACAAAGTCCCTACACTGGCAAAATACAAAATTTCTAACACCTTTCTCAACAGATACCTGTTTAAAACATGGAAATAATTTACAGGGGTGTTAAGGTTTGTAGGTGATGAATGAAGTCTTCTTCATCTCGTCCCCCACTCTCACTCCATGCTTTCTGCACAGCAGACTGTGCCCTCTAAGATTTCAGAATATACCTGTCTTGCCCCGACATCTGTGACTGGCCGCAAGAAAGACGGGCAGGAGGCAGAAAGGCTGAGCAAGCAGAATTTATTGTTCCAGGGCAGCAGCTGAGACAGAGCCCCTGAAGTGGGGTCCTCAGCTACTGCCAGCCCTATAGGGGAGAAGAGTCTCTTATATAGAGTCTAAGCTCAGATTCAAAAGGGGTGACTCATCATTGTGTCCCTTAATGTAAGGCCCAGTTCATTATCACCTCATCTAGTCCCATCCTGGATGCAAGGCCCAGTTAATTGGATGCAAGGCCCAGTTTATTACCGCCTTATCACCCTTGATGCAAGGCCTAATTTATTACTGCCCTTATCCAGTCCTGTCAGTAAATCTCTGCACTTGGTCACTCCCAATAATACCTTTCTTTTGGAAAGAAATAGAACAGCTATCTTATAAACTCTGTTTATTATTAAGAGGATCATTTTTAGGAAAGAAGACAAGAACGGGTTTTTTTTTTTAATTACATGTGTTTACATTTCCCTCGGACACCATTGGGCAACTAGAGAAAGTACATTTAAAGTGGTTTGAAGTTGAAGGTCCTGAGCAATTCATTGAATCCACATATGCAGCCTTGGATGGCAAGAAATAAGCATTCCAAAGGGAGCCAGAAATCTTAAAATGTTGAAAATGCTGCATGGGAAAGAATGCAAATCAAGAAAGCCCACATAAAGGAATTACAACCGCCTTCCTATACAGACAGATAAAGACCTATCAGATACCCTTCTGGAAGAAAGGAGACATTTTTCTCCCATATATGGTAAACACTGAGCAACAGTGAAGCAATGGGGGATGTTTTCAACTAGTGAATGTATAATTAATCATTGTGGACTGGGGGCAACTGAAATAAACTGACATCTTGCCAAAGCTGCTTCCAAGACAACATCACCACTACCCTCCCTCTATTGATATTTAAATGAGTATCTATCGCTACTAAGATGCTGAAGGAGGAGGAGGGAGCCCAGGGCCTAATGGATGCCTGGAGTTCCTGCCCCAGGATGGAGGATTGGCCTATTTTGCCTTTCTGTAAGTATGGGGATAAAGTTGTAATAATATCGGATATCCAATGTGCCAATTCTTTGGGCCCTTTTAAGGATGGTTGAGAATGACCCCGGCAAACTGAAAAGTCCTGAAGGAATCCCCTTCCACTGCAGGGGAAACAGCCCTGCCTGAAGCTGCCCAAGGAAACACAGTTTCCCACACACTGGAATGGGACCCTCCTGGCTGAGGTGGGGACAATAACAAAATCAAAGAGAATAGCACTGACCAAAGTATTTGGCCCTTTGAATTATTCCTAAGGGTTAAGAAATTTGATTAGGGATTTTCTCCTTTAAATTTTCTCCAGAGAAATATACAGTGGGATAAAGGGCCATAGTACAGTTTCGGATAGATTCAGTAAGTACTTTTAGAATATCTTATGTTGCCAAAAATCACCTTGCAGCCCCTGGTGACCTGCAGTGGACAACATGCTGAGCAAATTCCAAGTGTGGGAAAGAAGAGAGGAAGCACTTTCTGAGGCTAAGTTACAAGGCCTCTTTCGAGTTAAGGCCTGTGCCTTGTACAAAATGAGCCAAACACACAGGAAGGAATGAAAGGAAACTCTGGGCTAGAGAGAGAGGCTGAGCCTGGAGAGAAGCTGATATGGAAAGGGATTTGTTATTTGTGGAAGGTTTGTATTTGGTGATGGGGAAAGAATGGCAAAAATGTAACACAGTATTCCCGTAACTAAAAATAACATGTAAATAACTTTCATAATGAAAACCTTATGGAATCTGCTTTTCTGGGAAACTTTTAAAATAGGAAAGGGCAGGAGAAGGAAATGGCCTGTATTTAACCCACACTGTGTGCTAACACCATCTATATGTTATTTGTTAAATCCCCTCACTTTTCTCTTGGGGAACTTTTTACTTTATAGATGAGGGGAAATGAGGTGAAGAGGTAAAGGAACTTGATAAAGGAGATCTCTCAGGCTCCAGAGTCCGTGCCTCTCTACAGAGTCCTCGTAGAATCAAGCTGGAATCTGATTAGAAGCACGACCTGATTATATGATCTTTCTAGATTCTTTGTTGCCAGGACTTCCAAACAGGTGCCTTAAGTCTTCCAGGACATGAGGACCCACTGTGTACACTATGGATGTTACTGAACACAGGTTGAGAGCAGGGCGAGTGATACTAAATGCAAGCAAGAGGCGCTGGGCCTCACCACTGTCATGCTGTGTGACCTTGGGTAAGTGGCTTCCCTCTCTGACATCCAGCTTTCACTACATGCTTGGGCTAAATGTTTGGAAAAGCCTCTGCTCAGTTCTCACGGGACTCTCTCCAGGGCTGGAGTTCATATTGGTGGCCTGAGGAGGATGTCTCCCCCAAAAGCCCACCTTGGAGCTTCCCCAGCCTGACCCAGTCTCCCTGCCCACACCCTCAGCCCAGGGCTCTAGCCCAGCTCCCATCTCCTGCACCAACCTGCACCTCCTGGGTCAGGGCCAGCTCCAGCAGCTGCCCAAAGTGCTGGCCCAGCGTGCTGAGCGTCTCACTCACACAGGCCTTCATGGACTTCAAGACATGCTCATTCTCAACCTGCAGGCACCTGGGGAAAAGAAACACAGAGTGGACTATAGGAAGGGGCAGGCCAGCCCTGGGCCTGCTGCCTGCCTGGTGGTGGTGAAGTAGCCTAGGCTCTCTGCCTCTGGGGACTCAGGGGCAGACTACTGCACAGCTCCCTGGCTCTGAGCCCCTGTGTCCAGAGAAGTATGGGCCTGAGGTGGGAGCCAGTTGCTCACGACCCCAGAAGAGAGGCCGCTAGACATGGCCAGATCCACACCTCTGGGTATCTGTCCCTGAGACAGTCTGCACAACTGCAGCCTTGGGATGTGGGATAGGAGCAGCAGGGAAGAGCACAGAACACCAGGTGCCAACAGGGCTCACGCCGAAGATCTACGACAGGCCAATGAGGCTTTAAGAGCTGATTTTTAATAATGTGCAGAGAAGGACACAGTTGGAGCCTCAGGTTCAAATTTACCCACTAGGACCTGCGCATGTCCCACACTGGATGGCAAAAGACTCCACAGGGACGCTAGGGATGCCCAGTTCTCAGTTTTCCTCCAGGGCCTGGGGCCTGGAAAGGGAGAGGACAGTAGCAACAGCACTGGATGTACAGACCGAGGTTAGTGACTGAGCGTATATGCCACAAGTTCCAGTGTGCGGAACATGGAGAGAAGGAAGTAAGTGTGTTTCCACGACTCTAGGAATGTGTGTTTATATGTCTGCCTATGAGCATGTGTGTGTGGACATCACTGTCTGTGTGTATCGGGGTATATCTGCTTTTGCCTCTTCCTTGATTTGGGAAGTCAAGGGGCTCCCCATGACTATGGGGCGTTTTTTCCTTGTCGCCAACCCCTAAGAACCTCGTTCTTCCTTTGCTTGGGTCTTTTGCTTATATTCTCCCTGAGGTCTGAAAATGGAGCAGAAAATCCCAAGGGAATCTATTAAGGTTGCTGACAAAAATCAGTGAAAGAAACTTCCCAGACCACCACCAGATACTCCCTCCCTGTAGGAAGAAGATGTCCCTTCCCTGCCTGGGGTCGGGCTGGCAGCCCAGCGCCCACGTTTACCTCTCGGTGACTGCTGAGAGCTCTGAGCACTTCTCCATTAGCAGCTTCTCAACCTGCAGAAAAACAGATCCACTCACTGAGTCCCATAAGCACTGGTCGAAGACCGACTGCAGTACTGAGCCCTCTGGACCAGATTTGCCACTAAACTACATGTTGGAGGAATGGATGGCAAAAAAGATTGTCACTCTGCGTTCTGGAGCTCAAAAGGAAAGAAAGAAAACTGAGCAATTTGTTGTGCCAGGGCATCTGGGAAGCTTCAGAGAAGGAGCATTTGAAAGGGGCTTCAAAGAATGAAGAGAAGTTTATTGTCTGCAGAATGCAGCAAGGAAGAGGAAAGCAAACTAGGAAAGGGAAGTAAAGGAGCAGGGCGGGGTTTTAATGGTTCATACTGGGTTTTGAGGAGAAAATTCAAAGCCTCTTTGAAGTCAAAGAGGCTTGGGTTGAAGCCACTAAGCCATTCATAAGGAAAGTTTGGGCGGGTGACTTAGTTTGTTTCCTTGTCTATAAAGAGAGGACAGTGATGTTACATAATATTTTTCATCAACTGTTTTTAATATTTTCCATGCAGTAACTCACTCACTCCTCATCACAGACCTATGAACTAAATGCTCGCACTATACTCAGTAGGGCGATGGAACTAGGGCTCAGGGAAAGTTAGCAGCTTGCCAAGGTCACACAGCAGAGCTGACATTTTGACCCAGGCAGTCTGGCATTCAAGCAGGTGCACTTTGCCATTGCAAACCTCAGTGGTGACATCTTCCTCACAGGTTGTGCAGGTCAAATGAGATGTGTCAGAACACCTAGCATTTTGCCCCGCAGGTAGGGGTGATACGTAGAAGTCCTCACGTGCGTCTCTACTTTTTTGGAAGAAGAGGGGCACCCCTGGCTGCCTTAGGAAACGTTGAAATTCCACACAGCTCTGACCCACTCTTCTAAAAAGCATCCCCACTCCCAAGCCACCCAGAGCAGCTGACCTGGCCCATCTCCTGCGAGGAGGTCCGGCTGGCAGCACTGTACTCGCTGACCATGGAGCGGGCGTGGCACGTCAGCCGCACACTCATGCTGTGGACGCGAGCCCAGCGGTCCTGCGCCAGCTTCTGCCCGATCCTGCGCAGCTCAGTGCTGATGACCCAGCCCCGCTTAAGCAGCAACTGCAAGGGGTCCCCGGGCCCAGGGCCGCCCGCCAGGATGAGGTCACCCTGTGTGTCCTCCTCCAGGCTGATGGGCTTCGCTTGCAGGATGCACATGCATTCACACTCGGTCATGAGCTTCAGGTCCTCCATCCAGCGCTGGACAGAATCCACTTGCATCAGGTGCAGCCTGAAGGCAGGGGACAGGGCCATGACTGCTATCAACTCCCCACATTTTTTATAGATTTCAGTCTGAGGTGAGCAGATGTTTACTACCTACATACACATCACTGTTTCTTGTATTCATTTTCTTTGATCCTCTTTTGCATTATATCCATCTTACAGACAGTAAGACTGAGGCACAGATGGCCAGACAGCAACAGGCAGTGAAGTGTGACAAGCTACTAGGAGATCTTTGCAAAAAAAGAAGAAATGCCACTAGTCTAAAACTCAACAGCTGTGTTGTTACATGAATTATGGGACAGCAACATGGCTAGAGAGCACACATTTACTTTTATGAAGTGCTTTCCAAAAGTTTGTAGCAATGAGGCCCTCCCTGGTGGCGCAGCGGGTTAAAGCACTGCACTAAGAAGCTGAAACCACTTCCGCATGAGTTCGATCCCCGCCTGCCCCGGAGGTGACCACATGGCGTGGCAGACCTCTCCTGACCTGCCCGCTGCTCCCCTCAGCAGTATACTTCGTCGATCTGCCTGTTCTGCTCCCCACTCTGTCTCTGGTGAAGCCTCTCACCGCCCCTGAACCTCTGGCCTGTACCCCAGTTCTGTATGCACAAATAAATAAATCTTTAAAAAAAAAAAAAAGTTTGTAGCAATGAAATATGCGTGTGTTGTTAGACTGGGGAAAGCAGTATGTAAAAATATTAGCTCACAGGTCCTCCCTGGTGGCACAGCGGTTAAAGCACAGCACTGCAAGCTACCTGTAGCTGCTTCAGTGAGAGTTTCATACCCTGCCCCAGAGGTGACCCACATGGCCTGTCAGACCTCTCCTCCTGCCCGCTGCTCCCCTCAGCAGTGTACTTTGTTGATCTGTCTGTTTTGCTCCCCACTCTGTTTCTGGTGGATCCTCTCACTGCCCCTGCACCTCTGGCCTGTACCCCAATTCTATATGAATCAATCTTTTTTTTAAAATATTAGCACACAATCATTATAATTCTGTTTAAAAGCTGTGTCTAGAAAATAATAACTAAAGGAAAGATAGTGAAATGTTAGTGGTTCTTTATAGGTGGTAAATTAAAGCCTTCTTCCTTTTGTTCAACTTTGCTGATTTGGAAATTTTTCTAACATGAAAATGTACATTACTTTGTAATGGTGCAAAACAAAATAGCAGTCCAACAGTGTGAGAATGTAGATCGGACCCCCAGACTAAATGAAATCCACTCTAAAATTTACTAGGTCAGATAAAATCCAGTCATTTCAGATTATTGAGGAAAATTGAACATGAATCTTACCTGCCTCAGACCATTCTATACCTGCCACCAATCATTCTACAAATAAGTATTCAGTGCTACTAGATGCAAAGTAGGTGCTAAGCCTTTGGGCTGTAACAGCAACAAGTCAATAAAAATCACCTGCCTGTGAAGGTTACACTCAAGTGAAAGAATAACTTTGAAGTAATTTTCAAAATAAAGAGCAATGCATAAAATATGTTGGTGCTAGTAAATTCTATGATGGAAATGAGAGCAGGAAGGAAGAATAGAGAGGACTGGTGGGGGGGGTCAATAGGGAATGAGCACTACAATTTTTAAAAAGTGGATCAGAGAAGACTCAGAGAAATGGCCTTTTCAGCCCAAGCTTGAAGGGCATTAAGGAATGAGCCATGTGGACACTTTGGCAAATTGCCTCAAGGTGAGAGAACAGCAAGTGCAAATGTCCTGGGGTAGAAATATCCTTGACATGTGAGGAGCAGCAAGGAGACTGCAGTCAGCCAGCAGAGAGGGCGGAGCTGAGGTCAGAGCAGTGGAGGGTGAGGTTGGAGGAGATCCTGACTCTGTATGACCTAGCAGGTGCTTGGCTTCACCAAGAAAGCCAAAGAGGTGGGGCAGGGGTACCAAGCACAAGTGGAGTGACAAGGGCATGCTCCAGTCATCATGGTTAAGAGAGGCCTTTGTGCTGACTGCTACTTAGGGAGAAGGCGCAGGACTTTCTGAACAATGCAACTGCTTGAATACAAGGTTCATTTTTAACCACAAGACTTCAAGTGGTTTATTTACTGAAATAATACCATGATTTCTTTCTTATTGGTGGTGAAAACTTTTTTTTTAAGATTTATTTATTTATGCATACAGAACTGGGGTGCAGGTCAGAGGTACAGGGGCAGTGAGAGGATTGACCAGAGACAGAGTGGGGAGCAGAAGAGGCAGAAGTACACTGCCGAGGGGAGCAGCAGGTGGATCAGGAGATGTCTGCCCCGCCATGAGGATCATCTCCTGGCAGGGGATGGAGCTCTCACTGAAGCAGCTGGCTCGCTTGCAGTGCTGTGCTTTAACCCACTGCGCCACGCCACCAAGGAGGGCCCAATACCACGATTTCTTAAATGTTAAAAAGCAAAATAAAAAAAAAAACTCACCAGTAACCTTTCTTTCTTCTTTTCCTTTCATGAAACAGTTACGATGTTTTGTAGAGAATGTGAAACCACAGAGCCCTCTAGCCCATTCTCTTTAGAAACTCATATTGAACTTTACATTAAATGATATCACACCACCTGTACTCTTCATAGACAATTTCTACTCCACTATAATTTAATATGGCTCTCCCAGCCCTCCACTCTCCTCAAATCAAGGTAAGTTAATGAGAATCTTTCCCTATTTTCCCACTGACACTTAAGTGTATGCACTTGCCGGATCTCCTGACCCTTTCCTTGTTTGACACAGGAGATCACAATATATGCGCATTTTATTTTATTTTCTCACTCAACATGGAAAGTCCTTTCAATTATCTAGCAGAAAAGCAAAACATTCTCTTCGACATATGAAAATTAGTTCACAGTGTAGATATAGTACAATTTTTCCCCCTTGTTGGGCACTTTGTGTTCAACTCTTGGCTTCTGGAAACCCCCTCAAAAGTACATCCCCCTCACAGACCAGCATCTTCATCCTCTGGCATAGCTCTTCAGGGCAGAACTACAGGTGTGTAAGTGGTCTCTATCTGCTTCCCAAAGCTGACATAGGAGAGCTTCCTCCACAGATATCATAGCTCCCCTGAGTGAGTTCTCACTGCCCCCGGACCAAAGTCAAAATCCTGAGATTTGGATCTCACTGCTGTTTCTCTGCACAGGACTTCACATACCTCCAACATCAAGGTTCCCAGTGAGAGCCCCAAGACCAGCATGACTGGACCAGAGATGTAGAGAATGGAAAAACATGATTGCCGTGTTCTAGAGATACAGAACCGGGAGGCAAATGGGCTGAGGGGCTTCAAGAGACAACAAGCAAACCAGTCACTGAACTTGCTGACGCATCCTCTTCATAAACACTTCACAGTAGACATCCGTCGTTTTGTCTTCCTGCCACCCTTCCATCAATAGCAAAGACTCTACATTAGCTGCAACTTAGTGTGGCAATGTAGGCTTTGCCTGTCCTCTTCCCAAACATAGGGATGATTCCCCCAGTGGCCAGAGCTGGTGCTTGGTCCAAGGTGGCTCCCAAACCGAGTGGCACTGCTCCCATTTTCTTCCCCCAAATGGTGAAACTCAGAGCTGAGCGTCAGGGACTAGAGCTGTTGAACATGGGTCATATTCACGACAACAACTTCAGGTGTGCCACCAAGAACTCCAGAGTCATTCAGGGGCTGGGGGACAAGTCCAAATCTGCTAGCAGAAGTACCTTTTCTACAATACAAGTAATGATGTAGAATTGAGTCTGTGTTACCTCTTGGAAAAGAGGTTCTCTGGGAAATCAGAGAGGGAGCTGCTCCTTGCAGTTGGGGATCAGGAGAAGGTGCTCAGCGAAGGTGACTAGACCTCAGTAGGTTTTGGACATGGGAAGACGGTGGGGAGAGTCCAGGATGGTCCAGACAATGAATCAAGAGTAGGCCAGGTGGGCTAAGTTACACATTCTGAAAAGAGGAAGCAGGAGAGGAAAAGCTAGAAAGCTAGACAAGGCCCTGACTTGAGAAACTTTGAGCCCTAAATAGAGGTTGATCGTTTATGTTGGACATAGAGGTTGGAAACTTAAGAAACTACTGAAGGGTGGCAGGGCAGAACAACAAAGGCAGACCAGTGGGGCTGAAAGAGGCAACATCACAACGCCTCCGTCCAGCACCGGCTGCAGGGAAACCCCTGGAGCTGGGCAGTTGTCGGCATGTCTCCCTGGGGAGAGTCCAGGCTTCCTCAGCTGGAAACTACTCACAGCCCTCATTAGTTATTGGCCTGGATGACAAAGAGCTGTGGAAGAACCACAAAGGAAGGAAGGGGTTGTCAGGGCCCCCAAATGCCCCCAGTCGGGGCTCACCAAGGAAGTCCAAATAGATCCCCAACTCACATCTTCATCACCCCCTCTACCTCCAATTTGCACAGAAGCATCATCAGTACATGCGCCAGATCGTTAAGAATTAAAACAAAAGTTTTACTTTCAGAAACTGTGTTAATTAAAATCCCAGTTGATTTATCACTTTGCTGGTAAGGGAAATGGAATGACAAAATTATCGATTTCTCCCATCTCTGTGTATCTGTGTCGAGGAGCGTCTGCGTCTGTGGATATTAACTCATCTGAGCGTGTCTGTACTATCTGCGTGTCCCTGTCTGGGTGTCTGGTTGTGAGTTTACGCATCTCTACCTGCGCAAATACTTGAATCAATGCGTGTTTACAGGTCTTGCGTCAGATAAACTCTATGATTAAAAAGATCGAGCAGGAGCTGTGTGTGGGCTGCGCGTCGTGACTCAATTTCAAAGAAGATTAGAGAGAGATGAGGGAAAATAGCTTTAAAGTGGAGAAATCTGACAAACACCACTTTAACCAAGTGATCAGAGTTAACCTAACTGCTGATAAGTCGTGCTGGCAGCACATAACTCAGATATGATGGAATGAAAACAGGCCTCCTCTGGGGATGGAAGCGACACGTGCCCTGATCTGATGTGGGAGCCTTCTCCAGGGCGTTCTTCCCCAAAATACAAGCAAGAAAAAGGATCAGGAACCCAAAAAGAGGCACTGGTTACAGTACACTTCCCCGGGAC